TAATGATCCAATCTTCTATACAAAAAGTTTAGGCAAGAGGAGGAACAAGCTGCAGCATATATCGATCGATATTGACTTTTCTTCAAAATGGTAGTCAGTCCCCCAAGAGATAAAGAAACATTGATAATAGATGCTATATATCATGTCAAGCTACTGAGTCATGATCTAGGTCTAGTACGTGCATATGTCTACCATCCCCATTCCTCAACAGAAGAAAAACATACAAAACAAGCTGCAAGGACAAATAAAGAAAAAGCAAACTTCAGTGACTTGGAAACATACAAAGTCTGTTTTTTTTCCCTAATATGAAATCAGTTGCCAGCACGAGACAACATAAAATGGGTACTTCGAGTGAAGTTTCGATTCATAACACACCTTTTTTATTATGTATGTTAAAATGCTCCATAAAAGCATCAGCTTAGACATGCATGATAAGATAATAGTATATTTGCAATGGGATTCCCGATTCTTGAAAGATTAAAAAAAAAAAACCTAAGAAACCAATGCAAAGTTTTTAATTCTTACAAACTAATATTATTCTCATCATTTTTTTGGGTGATCCATGTAAGCTTCTTGTGACCACACTGTAAACCCACGACCACGTAAACATTCAGAACTCTCCCTAAAAATTTCCATAATTCAGTAGAAGTAAGCGAAAATTAAGTTGCTGAACCTTGTTCTTATTTCTTCCATCATTAATTAGAAGTGACAAGCAACTAACACCACATGCCACCATCTTAAAATTTTAAAATTCTTAAAATCATATCATCAAAGAGCCAGCTTTGATCCACGTAGAGTAAGCCCTAAATGAACTTAAGCAGAGATCTGCTCCCCAAAAACACAATCAAGCGATCACGACTCCAAATCAAACATCAAAGAACAAGAAATTACCAAGGGGCGTAGAATTCAACGACGACGAAGGGATGCTTAGCGATCGCCTCGTCGAAGTTCGACGCGTCGAGCGTGAGAACCGACGAATCCTCCTGCTTAGCTTCGGTCCCCTCCTCCACCCTAACTGAAGAAACCGAAGAAAAAACGAATAAAGCGAGAAAAATCGAAGAGATCCAAACCCTAGATTTGACCGCCATTAGAGCGGGGTAGAGCGAGCGAGAGGGTTTTTTAGCTCTTCGTGAAAATAAATGGGGGGAATTTTCCCTCCTTTGTACGAGTGGGGAAATTTTCGGGGGGAGGGGGTGGGGGGTTGGCGACGCTGATAAACAAAGAAGCGTCGTAAAAAATGTAACCTTTAGCGGCGCCAAGGAAGAACGTTGGGAAAAGAACACTTTTAGCGACGTTAGCCTAATATGTCGCGATAAATGCATACTATTAGCGACGCTAATCCTAAAACGTCGCTAAAAAACTATACTTTTGCCGACGAAAATGAAAAAACGTCGGGAAATCCATAACTTTTACCGACGTTAAGTTAAAACGTCGCTAAAAATATACACTTTTAGCGACGCTAATTATAAACGTCGGGAAATATATATTTTTTGCCGACGCTAGCTAAAAGCGTCGGGAAAAACATAATTTTTGGCGACGTTTTTAACCATGCGTCGGGAATAAGCGTCGGGAAAAGTACAATTTGTTGTAGTGATGAGAGCTATCCGCTGATGACGAAGAGTGAGAGGATGAGAGATGGGGCCGACTCCTCCTCCAACTTTATGCCCGATCATTGGACTGGAATTCCTGATTCTTCTGCATAAACAAGAAGAACGAACCCGTAAGAGGGTGTGGGGTTTGTTTTACCTGTTGTAGGTTGTCTAAAAATAACTGCAGATAGCTAATCCCCATCAAACACCGATGATAAAAGTTACAATCTGACGACTTCCAGAAGGCTATAATTTGAAGACTTTCACGTAGATCGATAAAGGTTACAATCTGACGACCTTCACAATAACCGATGAAAGCTCTAGTTTAACAGCCTTCACAATCAGCATCGGGAGTTATAATCTGATGACTCTCATATTTTCAAGGAGCCAAGATGAAGATTATAAAATGACGGTCTTTGCAAACACTCCAGCAAGAAAGACCACAAATTGATGGTCTCTTCACATCAAAACACAGAGGTCATCCTTGCGTTACACCATCAAAATGCAGAGGTCATCCTTGTGTTATAACATCAAAACGCAGAGGTCATGCCCGCGTTTTAGAGTCAAAACGCAGAGGTCTTCCCCAGCGCTCCAATTAAAAAACACAGAGTTCGTGGACTCAAAACACGGAGTTCATCTCTGCGTCCCAACTCTGCGTTTCAGATTTACAATGTCGTGCGAACACTGCGTTTTCAACCTAAAACAGGCCCAACTCTGCGTTTCAAGTCTAAAACTCAGAGTTCGGGCCCAGAACGCCATTTTCGGCATTTGACTCGTTCAAATACGAGATGAACGGTTTCAGGAACCGTTTCCCCCCACATTTAGAGGGATTTTCGCCCTCTTAGGAGCAGATTAAGGGAGTGGTTACACCCCATTCAATCCCATTATGGAGAAAATTAAGGGGGCGATTACACCCTTAGTCCTCTTTAAATAGGAGTAAACTCAACTGAGTTCGGGTCCTTCGGCCTTGAGTTTTTGGCAGAAAAGAAGAGATCTTCGGCTGGCTTTTTGGGGGAATTACTGAAGCTTTGGAGATCGAAAACAGGAGCTTTCTTCATCCTTAGCTTATAAACCGATTTCGGTTAAATCAACTCTTTCATAGAGTTTCAAACTCGTTTAGAGTTATCAACTCATCAAGAGTTCTTTAAAACTTTCCATGCAAGTTCTCCACAGCGTCAAATCGTGAGGAGAAGACCACGCTCCAGTGAAACAAGACGTTCAGATCGTCAACGAGAAGCAAACTCGACGCGAGCATTCGAGGGAGGCATCTCATCGCCACCGTGAAGAACCCAATTTTAAACAAAGGGGAAGATTTACATCAATTCTCTTCTCTTTTGTAATTAAGAAATCAAATTGTAATTGAATTAGAGAGAATAAAACACTCAATTCTTTCATGGTCTTATTACAAATTTTTCACCAAATACCCGTGGTACCTCCGATTGTCAAGTCAGCTGGTGAGCTTGAGTGGGGTTTGAGGGAGAGTCCTGGGACCATTGAGGTCCTTGTAAAGGGGGTACTCTTTTAGCGTTACTAGTAAAAAGAAATAGCTCAAGAGGGAGAAATAATCCCCACAATTTAATGAAGGTCCAGCCTCTTCGTAGAGTCCAGAAGAAAAAAAGAGACCTCTCACCTTAGTTCTTCGCCCCCTGAGATTCTAACCATTGGCTTTGACTATGCACAGGAGGGCGGTGGTGGGGTGAGTAGACATGCTGCTGAGTCATCCTCCACTTTACAGATGCCGGCTGGCGACTGGAGGGGAAGTCATTCGAGCACAGGAGAGGATATCTTAGTGATATCTGGGAAGTGACTTGTGAGCAGAGTAAGTTGTTTATGCCTGAGATTTATCAGAGTTGAGATCTTGATGGGATCGATCAATACTGTAGTGTTGATTGATGTATATCTGAAAGGAGCTTAGTTGGATCTTATCCTCTTAGTAGAGACAGGTTAGTTTTCGAGTTGTCCCTATGATTTGTCGACCCGATAGTCGAGTGAGCTTCTGGCAGAGGAGACAGCTGAGTAGATGGTCGAGCCGAATATTTGAGTAGTTGTCTCGATTATGAGGCGGGCGGACTCTTGAGGAGTCGTCTTGATTATGAGGGGTCGGTCGGTAAAGACGACTCATCGCTCGACGGGTCGATAGATTTGTTCTTAGCCGGGCTTTGGGCTGCCAAGCTGGCTTGGGCCATGGTTCTTTTGGGCCTGTGAAGACAGTCTCGATATTTTTATCTTTAGATAGCGAATTACCATAACACGTAGCGGTGTTAATTTTTAGAAAATCCGCATTTAATTCGTGACAGTGCGATTTGAACCTGGGTTGCTCTGATATCATCTTAAATTTAGTTCCTCTAACCATTACACCAAAACTCTGAAGTTATGGTGAGGATCAATGATTATAGTTTTATATTAATTTTAACAAAAGTTTTGACATGAGTATTCTCTTTTATAAGTAGTATAGATTAGAAGAGGAAAACTACTATTCTTGTTGAGCTAGGTATACTAATTTTCTCCTTGACTTGTATTCCTATTTTATTTTCAGTGTGTGTAATAGGATTCTCGATGTGTTTGACAAAAACCAAAAAATTGGGCGAGGTTCATTCTCGGGCTAGTTTTACTCTAAGTCAGTTTAGTGTTGGACCACCACACCGGGTCCAACACTTAACTCGTTTTATAGCCTCTTTTTTTCCCTAAAAGAATTGGGTCAGAACTAAACCAGTTTTTGCCAATCAATAGCAAACCCAAAATTGGGTCAGGTTCAGTTCTAGCCCAGTTTTAATAATTTGCCAAACGCACTGTTAAAACTTTTGACATTGATTTTCAGTAAAACTTTTGATGTTATGTTTGTGCAACTTTGTTGAATTCATCATGTGGGTAGCAATCTTACTGTAGGAAAAGGTTAAAGTTGGAAATTTAACAGCTTAGAATTGTCTTAAGAAATGAGAAAATTAAGCTAATTGAGTTAAACTGATAAGCATATGATGATGAGATGAGAGTAGAATAAAGATGAGAGGGATTGCAGACGTTACATGATGCATAAAATGTATTATACTTAGGCCCACTTATGAGAATAAGAATAGAATTTTAAGGGAAAGAAAGTATAGACCGATAAATAACACTCCAGGCACACTCTCCATCATACTCTTCACCACACCCCCTCTCCTGCTACAGTGCAGGGGGGCCCATCTGAGATTTTTTAAAAAATCTCGGGTGGGCCCCCCTGCACTGTAGCAGGAGAGGGGGTGTGGTGAAGAGTGTGGTGGAGAGTGTGCCTGTAGTGCCGCTCTAGACCCGATTCATTCAAAGTGTCCACCGTCCAGTCTCCGCCTTACAGTTTATATCGAAAACCTTATCATCTCGCGGAACGGAAATATGACAAGTGGAGAAACCGCCACATATATATATACCCACATTTTCGTTCAATACATTTATATATATTTATATGTGTATGGTTGTCTAATCGTGATTTCCCCCCTTCTTTCTTCTTTTTCTTCTGGTTCTGCTTCTACTTCTATCGTTTTCGCTCCTGCCCCTGCCACCAGAAAAGAGGGAAAAAAGGGGGGAAAAGGGAAAAAAAAAACAAAAAACAAAGAAGAGGGCTTTATTATTTTAATTTCATTTTTACTAATAAATCTGAGGGGGTCCAATCGAAAATCTGAGAGACGGCCGAGGGATTCTTTGGCAAGATTGATTGATTCTCAATTGGTTTGGTAAGCTTCCTCTCTGTCTGCTCAAATCTCTATCTCTCAGCAACTAATTTTCCTGAATAAACGTTGGAATTTTGATACTTCTTTCAAAATTTTTTTTTTACCTCCCCAGTTGGGGTTGAGTTTAGCTCCTTTGTTGGTGTTTTTATTCTCGTTTTCTATTATGGAGATAAGGTAGGTAGATAGATAGCTCCGATACAATTCAGCACGATACAACGCAGCAATAAAAGACGACAGAAAGATTCAATCTTTTTTTTTTTTGGGTATTTTCCCTTGAACCTCAGCTCGTCTGCAGCTCCCAGACAATTTGATGTATGCAACCAATTAAGTGATCAAATTTATAAGTGGAAGTGGGAGTGGGAGCGGCAGCGGCAGTGGCAATGGCTTCTCCTGCTTCCCTTGCAAGTCTGGGAAGCGCGAGGCCGACCCCTTGTTGTTTACCACGCTGCAGTAATAACAGTGATAAATGCAAGAGCACTCTAGTATTTCTAGTAGCTGCCTCTGGTGCCAATCACCATCATCATCACCGTCACCGTTTAAGGAGGCTCCAAGTAATTTCTAGTACCAGTAGCTTCAGTGCTTGGATGATTCCAAGGCTGCACTGGCCTCTTTCTTACTCTCCCACCACCAACACCAGCAGCACAAGGATATGTAAATGTATGGCCACCACCACTACTAATTTAATAGAGGAGAAAGGGGTTTCATCTTCCCTCAAGGAACCCACCTCCTTCAGCAGCAGCAACTCCAACGACGATGCTGATCTCGTACTCAAACCTGCTCCCAAGCCTGTCATAAAGCTCCGTCCCAATGGTCCTCCTCTCCGTCAATCCGTTGATGATAATTCCGCTGTGGTGGTGGATGACAGAAATCAAGTTATAGAGTCTCTTGAGGAAGTTCTGGACAAGGCAGAAAAGCTTGAGACTTTGACTCCAAGTAAATTTGTCAGCAAAGAAAGTAAGGATGGGTACAAGCCAAATGCAAGCAGCAAGTCATCAGCTAGGTTTGCAAACCCAACTACGTCAGCGCGCAAGTCCAAAACACTCAAGAGCGTCTGGCGCAAGGGAAACCCTGTGGCCAATGTACAGAAAGTGGTTAAAGAAGTACCCAAAATGGTTAATAGAGAAGATGACAAGGGGCAGCAGGCTCCTTCTCCTGTAGCAGAGACAAAACAGTCGGATTCTCCGTCAGTTGTACCCTTGAGACCTCAGATGCCATCACTTTCCAAGCCTACACCTAAGCTTAGAGCTAAGCCTGCTGTTGCTTCTCCTCAGCCACCTCCTCAATCTCTAGCAAGGAAACCAAGTGCTGTCAAGGACCGCAAACCGATTCTCATTGATAAGTTTGCGGTTAAGAAGCCAATCGTGGATCCCATTGAGGCAGAAGCTGTGTTAGCCCCATCCAAACCTATGAAGGGGCCCATGACCTCAAAGGCTAAAGAGGAGCGTCGGAGGAAGTCAAGTGCTGCTGGGGGTTTAAGGAAACGGCTGGTGGATGATGCCGAAATACCTGATGATGCAGAGCTTGATGTTCCTATTCCTGGTGTAGCAGGAGCAAGGAAAGGAAGGAAATGGAGCAAGGCAAGTAGGAAGGCCAGTAGGAAGGCCGCAAGAGTCCAGGCGGCTAAAGATGCTGAACCTGTTAGAGTAGAGATTCTTGAGGTAGGTAAAGAGGGCATGTTAGCTGAGGAATTGGCCTATAGCTTAGCAGTTAGTGAAGCAGATATCCTAGGCTATTTGTTTTCAAAGGGGGTTAGGCCTGATGCGGTGCAAACATTAGATAAAGATATGGTCAAGATGATATGCAAGGAATATGAAGTAGAAGTTATGGAATCAGAACCAGTCAAAATAGAAGAAATGGCGAAAAAAAAAGAAGTGCTTGATGAGGACGACTTGGACATGCTGGAAGACAGGCCCCCAGTTATTACGATAATGGGTCATGTCGACCATGGAAAGGTACTTGTTTTTCCCCTGTGATTCTGATTTTAACGTTTGCCTGACCTCGGCATGATTTGGGTTTATTACTTTTTGCTCTGGCGTATGCTCATCTTTTTATGTACTTACACAGACAACTCTCCTGGACTATATCCGCAAGAGCAAGGTAAATTTTGAATCTCTTACCAACTTGAGAACTTCAATTTAGTTCAGCTGCTTATCTTCAAAAGTATCTGCCAAATTACACTCTCTCAGGTGGCAGCATCTGAAGCTGGCGGCATTACACAAGGTATTGGAGCATATAAGGTCCTTGTTCCTGTCGACGGAAAGCTCCAGCCCTGTGTTTTTCTTGACACGCCAGGGCATGAGGTACACAACACAAAGCATTGTTGCAACTCTGAATATTTTGAAATTTGACCAAATTGTTGTGGTAGTTTCAGCCCTCTCTCTTCTTGTCCACACTTTTCAAATTCTCTTGTTTGAGTTTATAACTAATATACGGCTTCATCCAGTTAAGTTATTGACATGTAACAGGCATTTGGTGCAATGAGAGCACGTGGTGCAAGAGTTACTGACATTACCATCATTGTGGTGGCTGCTGATGATGGAGTCCGGCCCCAAACAAGTGAGGCCATAGCTCATGCCAAGGCTGCTGGGGTGCCTATTATAATAGCTATAAACAAGGTCTATGTTCACTAGATACCACTGTAACTAGTTCATTATATAGTATTCTGTGAGAAATTCTGTCTATATCCAATCCATTTTTGTTCTCAGATAGACAAAGATGGAGCTAATCCTGACAGGGTTATGCAAGAACTTTCCTCAGTCGGCCTCATGCCAGAACTGTGGGGTGGTGACTTCCCTATGGTTCAGGTTGTTTACAAAACTTCAACTAGTGACTTTATGATTTTATAATTCTTAAATGTTAGAAGAAGCTGATTTTTTATGTCTTTTGTATCAGATTAGTGCGCTTAAAGGAGATAATGTGGACGAGTTGTTGGAAACTGTTATGCTTATTGCAGAAGTAAATGAATAAATTCCAGTGCCATATAAATGTTTTTACCGTGTTAGATGTGATGTTATATTAAATAATGATCTTCCTCTTCTCAATATGTACAGTTACAAGAGTTGAAGGCCAATCCTCATAGAAATGCAAAAGGGACAGTGATAGAGGCAGGTCTTGATAAATCAAGAGGACCTGTTGCCACACTTATTGTGCAGAATGGAACGCTGAAGAAGGGTGATATTGTTGTCTGTGGTGCAGCACATGGAAAGGTGAAATGAAGAACTTATCAACCTTAAATATGACCACTTAAGGTCAACATTTTCTGTCCAAGAGATGATTTATGTATTTTTTTACTGATGGTCTCTGTACTAATCATCAATTCTCAGATGCGTGCTTTATTTGACGATAGAGGAGGGCGCGTTGATGAAGCTGGGCCCTCAATGGCTGTGCAGGTATTGTCGTTCAACTGTTATGTTGTCTGCCTTCTTCTTTGTCATTAATTCTTAGGTTATATTCTGAGATTTATTATACTTACAATATATGAAATTGTTTTAGGCATAAAAGCTTATTATACTTGCAGAATGTGATTTCACCTTTTTTATTTGAGTGTTCTCGTCTTCAGTTACTCTATTTGTTTCCTGCCTCTAGGTCATTGGCTTGAGTGATGTTCCCATTGCTGGTGATGAATTTGAGGTCCTAGATTCTTTAGATGTTGCTCGGGAAAGAGCTGAAACACGTGCTGCATCATCACGGGATGCAAGGATATCTGCAAAGGCTGGGGAGGGGAAGGTCACTCTATCTTCAATTGCTTCTGCATCACGGGATACAAGGATATCCGCAAAGGCTGGGGAGGGGAAGGTCGGTATATCTTCAGTTGCTTCTGCTGTTCAGCGGGAAAGCAGTCTGGATTAGACACACACCAGCTAAATATTATTCTAAAAGTTGATGTCCAGGTATTGGTTGTCTTCTGATTGCATTTTTTCTTTGGTTCACCCACCTTAAGTAAGCAAATAGTATGTTCATGATTATAAGTTATCCCGGTTGACATGGTATCATTTTCATTAATGAATAGGGTTCAATTGAAGCAATCAGGAATGCTCTTCAAGTACTACCCCAGGATAATGTAACTTTGAAATTCCTCCTTCAAGCTCCAGGTGATGTGAGCACTAGTGATGTGGATCTGGCTGTTGCCACTGAGGCCATTATATTTGGGTTCAATGTAAAAGCTCCAGGTTCAGTTAAGAGCTATGCAAATAAAAAGAATGTGGAGATTAGACTATATAGAGTCATCTATGAACTTATTAATGAAATGAGGAGTGCAATGGAAGGACTCCTTGAGCCTGTTGAGGTAAAAAAGACGGGATGAGCTAATTTTAACTTTTATATATATTGAAATCCATGTCGATGAATTTCCCCTTCTATATATTTGTTAGGAACAAATATCTATAGGAGCAGCAGATGTCCGAGCGGGCGTGTGGCTGGATGCATGGTCTCTGAAGGAAAAGTGATAAAAGAATGTGGTATTCGTGTTGTTCGAAATGGAAAGACAGTTCACACGGGGAAGATTGATTCTTTACGCCGGGTAAAAGAAGAGGTGAAAGAGGTATGTCCTATAACAAGGCTTGTGGTTTCATATCCTGAAGCTTCATGATACTTAGAAGTTAAGATTATATTTTATATATTACGAAAGATATCGATGTGTTCTATTGTTTTAAACAAATAAATAAATGGCGAATGAGGAAATATATTAGTGCAATGCAGATTCACCTCTGATCGGGTTACTTATTGCTTAGTTAATCAGCTTTGCAGCCTTCGCTTAAACCAACTCTCTGGAGCTTGGCTAACCTATTCAACAATGCTGATTGACAGTATCCTTCAATAAAACTATCCTTTCTGCTTTATCCACACCTCGTAGCACTTACTTCCAGTATACATGCTTCCAGGATTACGAGTATGTTGTTGCAATCAGTATGTCCAGTTGAAGTAATAATCGTTCAATTGATTGTTGATTCAACTCATCATCAGATTCATTTAGCAAACTTGTTATCCATGTACCGATCTGTAATTTACATTGTAATTTGCAGTCGTGGTGAACATCTCCAATTGACAAGTACTTCCATAGAAAAATGTCATTCATATGCCAATCATCAGCAAGTCATCTTTGAACAACCAAACGCACCGCAAAATCTTTAAATCAGCAACACATTGATCTAACCTACCAATGAACCATTGTTGTTCACCATCTTATATAAAGCACCAGTTTGATACCAAAATACCATTCCTTTATAAGATAGTGTTAATAAAACATCATAAATTTCAGTTTTACTATTTTCTGTCATGGCTCCATGCAACAAACTGATCATTGTAAAGTCCACTTAAAAAAACCCATTTTCTTCCTAATTGGTGCTTAATTACTATAGTTCACTCGAAGATTTTCTTCATAATATACCCCTATGTACCCTTTTTCCTGGATGTAGTGTCTATGAGTTTTAAAACTATCTTCTTATATAATTTTGTTACTCTTGGATACTAGGAAGTTCATCCAATAGGGACAAAATTCTACTACAAATTTTAGTTCCTATTTGCCTTTCTTTACCGGTCTTATTCGGAATCGTGGTTGAACATGAGTTATGATTGGATTAGCAAATAGGATCCGACATGAGTTTAGATTGGGTTAACCTTACCCGTTTGCTAAGCAGTAGGCATTGTCAGGAACTGTTTTGAGTAGTTTTTTAGGAATGTTTAATAAAAGATTAGATCAACTAATAGATTGGTTTCTTGTAGTTGTTTCTTTTCCTTCTCATTTTATGAATGCACAGTGTATTTAAGGGCTAAAATGAGGAAGCTTGTTGAGAAATCAAAAGAAAGTTCATTTGGTTGAATAGGGAGATTTTCCTTTATACTTTCACTTTCCTTCCATTCATGTGCCAGTTTCCCCTTTCTATAGTTCTGTTCTGGACAGAAGGAAATTGCACCCTTCAA